GTATATTCTGGGTATTCAAAGATTTAACATAATATTTAAGACATTTAAACGACATTGTAAAATAGCAAAATACAAAATTACATTCCATATGCTATAAATAGTATAGCATAGTTCCACTTTCTACTTAGTACCTATTGGGCTACTAGCATGTGATGGGATTACCATTAATTCTCTAACGATCATTCCACCATTTTTATCAGGTGCTGCATCAGTAGAACCTGAGAAAAAGCAGACATCTTGCTCGGGAATTAACACATCACAAACCAGAGGGCCTGCATTGGCTTCCCAGCTTTCTGCCAGTGTAGACGCTAGGAAGCAGTGCTGACGGCTATAGTACCGGGGCTCCCGCCCCCTACAGCGGCTATGAGATTCTAGCTCCTGGCTCCCAGCTGCCGCCTCAACCCAGACATGGCCACGCAGAACTTCCGGAGTTGATCAGCAGACAGCAATGCCATCCATCAATCTCACCAAGAAACACACCCAATTCTACCAGAATGAAAATAAAAACCACATGTTCACTAACAATTCCTAACTTGAAAAAACCATCACATAGTAATGCAAATACAATGCCCACTTCACCCTGATAGAGTTCATTTCCAAATTACAGGAAGCTAGTAAGCAGACTCGGCCAAAGACAATTAGGAGTCAGCTTGCATGTGCCTAGTTAATACTTGGGACTTCAAATTTTTTATTTGTACTCACAGAATAATCAAATAGAGTGCCAGCTGACTATGCAGCCACTGTGTACAGGAACGACTGGAGACAGAGGGGATATCCAAGTTCAATGGCAGTGGACTTAGCTTTAAGGCAGCAGGTTCAGCACCCTTAATATGGTCACAACCATGGGCATCTGGCCCCAACGATGACAGGGATGAATCCCCCCATACACTGGGGCATTGAGTATTTCATGAACATAAAGCTTAATAATGTCTTTTTATTATGCATTAAGAAATTTCATGCAACTGTGCACTTTAATGCAGCAAAGAAACGCAAATAATTTCCTTAATGGAATTAGTGCATCCTTAAGGATCCATGACAAGACAGTACTGCATGATTTAACTGGTAAAATATTTAAATCCCAGGAAATAAATATTCTTAAGAACGAATACATAAGGGGCAAAATTAAGCATCCTTTACGTTTGTGCTCCCTGCTGGCTTTTTTAAAGACAGGTTTCTTTGGAATGAAAACAAATCTTTGCAATAGTAAGTGAACAAATGAGGGAACATACTGCCTGGAACACAAATCTCACTAAGTAAGTTCACTAAAACCTCTAGGTCCACGGATCCGAAAAGTCTGTTTCTAAGAAATTTCCAATCAATTCACTATGTGACACACTCATAACAAATGTCTTTATATAATTTCCTTAAAAGCCAGGTCCTTCTTCCTAGCAATATCATAAGTTATTTTATTCACAAACACAAAATATACATATTCTCAAGAAACTGAGGTATTATATTTATACAGCAGAGGTAATCATGAAAATTCAATCTAACTAAAAAAGATTATTTCTTACTACAACAACTTTACACAGTTAAAACTAGAAACTCTTCCATTGTCATCTCGTGCCCTATCCATTTCTCTGGGACCTGGGTGATGCGTTATTCCTACCGTACCGTCCAACAATAGATTTGCTTGGAGCAGGTAATGGGCTGTGCAGGGCGCCAGGCACTGCTGGCCAGGTGTTTACCACCCGCACACCCAGCCCTTGAATGAGTTACCCTTAGCCAGATGATCAGCTGGGGTCAAGGGCATCACACTGAAGTCATGGAACACAGCGAAGTTCCCTGGTCTGCGCACCAGCCTTCGGGCTCGTCAACTGAGTGATCTGACAACTGCAGAACTCAGCCAGGAAGATGGCAGATCTCTGCGCTCCAGTCTGACCCCTCAGCATGACACCAATCTTGTGCATCTAAAACGGGTAACTATTGTGATGACCACACAGAATGTTCTCGGGTTAAACGATGACAGTCTTAGCAGAAACCCATTTTGACACAGATCCATACCTCTCTGCCACGCCACTTTCGACACAAGCTTCTGTCAGAAAGGCCACGTCACAGCAGGCGCAGCGGGAGGCAGTGTCCGAGATGGACTGAGAGTCAACGAACACAGTTCAGCTATACGCGCTTGTTCAGATCCTTCTACTTCATATTCCAATGAATCAGACAGTACTTTTTAAGATTCTTTAAAATACCAAAAACGCCGTCTTCAGTCACTGGTCTTTAAATATCACCTAAACTAGATTACCCAATTTCACAGCCTCTGCACACACGCGGCTCATCTCAACGCACAACTAAAAATTCAGTCCCTCAACACACTGCCGGGGCTCAGAAGCTACGGCGGCCAGTGGTCGCCACACTGCAGGGTGCCACAGCACAACCACCATCACAGAAAGTGCCACGGGATGGACGGCACCGGCCTGCAGATGGCTGTGCAAAAACTCCCAAGACTGTTAACACTAAGAGCTGCCTGTTAAGAGGAGCATCACGTCATCTCTGGGCTACAGGGTTACAGTCAACTGTGTTCACAGGTGTCGGAGAACGCATCGACTTTGCGATCCTTACTGAGTCTGAATTAAGAGTTCCAGGAACTCGGATATTTACACAACACTACTATAAAGAACACTGTGAAGAGGTAACAGGCGTGACAAAATTTTGTAGCCATGTGACTAAAGTAAATCACTTCCTGCTGCTGCTAACACACAAGTGTTGAAATATGAAAGTGTACCTAACTGCTATTGAGTGCGCCTCCTACGAACGGGGCGAAAGGTCTACTGGCTACTGCTGTCTTTTACCTTGGCACCAGAAGCGAGAGGAAAGGCTTGGTTGACATGAGCCCTCGTGCAAACAAAACTATCATAGGAATCAACTGTACAGAATAAGGACTAAAAACTGCCTTCTGCTTTTAGTACACAAGAACACTCTCTCGTGCAATGACACTTGAGTGGCTAAGGTGAATGCTTTTAGGAAAATCGAGTTCACATTATTTCCAAATTCACTTTGTCAGAACTTAAAGTAGACAGCAAGCTGCCTGTCAACTTCTTTCAAGGAATGCTTGCCCAAGAAGCAGGAAGTAGGAAGCCAAACAACCTGCTTATTCTTGTTGTTCTGAGTAGGGCAAAGAACAATCAGAAAATGCACACAGTTGCATCTAAAAGAAAAATGCAAACACAACATAACCATACTTTATTTGACTGCATCTTAAGACAGCTTGCACATTTCAATTCCCATTAAATTCTCTCTCCAAAAGGACATGGGACAATTTAGGCAGCAATATCCAGTCACGACACAACAGTGCAATGTTTTGAGACGCACGTGATGTTTTATCCTCAACTCCCACCTGACGTGCCCGTCACATGTGGTTAGGTTCTGGCTCACCTGAAGGTGCTGTGACATGGCAGCACTCCTTTCAGCGACGCCAGGGGGCACTGAGAGCCCCTAATGTGTTACCCTTATGGTTTTATCTGTGATCCTGGGAAAGTAAGGAAGCTCATGATTGCTAGTCAGTGCAATATACATGTCCAGTCTTACACATGTCAGCCCATATCCTAACACAGGGCAAAGGTAAGGTAAAATGTGACCAACAGGGGTCCTGGGCTGTGGCCTAGCAGCTAAAGTCCTTGCCTTGAATGCGCCAGGATCCCATGTGGGCGTCTGTTCTAATCCCAATAGCCCTGATTCCCATCCAGCTCCCTGCTTGTGGCCTGGGAAAGCAGTTGAGGACGGCCCAAAGCCTTGGGACCCTGCACCCGTGTGGGAGACCCAGAACAATTTCTTGGCTCCTGGCTTCGGATCGGCACAGTGCTGACCATTGCAGTCAGTTGGGGAGTGAACCATCGGACGGAAGATCTTCCTCTCTGTCTCTCTTCCTTTCTGTGTATCTGACTTTCCAATAAAAAAAAAATAACTCTTTAAAAAAGTGACCAACAAACCCACTTGTAAAGATTTGCTGACCAAACGTGGATGACAATTTTGGATAAAGGACAGAAATTATTAAAACCAATTTTTAATAGTGACTTTATATTTACTTGTTTTGCTCGCTTCAAACTCAAAAACTACTGTCTGGTTTCTAATCTTTGAATTCTTCTGGAGTTGTTTAATCCCAAAGTAAGGGAAATTATAATCAGCCCATACATCACAAATGGCAATATAGCTTCTTCACCATCTGCAGCTCATGGAGCACGTATAACAAGGTTCAGCAGAACCAACTGCCAACCCAGCGTCAGTGGATGGCATTGTCAGTCTTAAAAAGAGGCAGCACCCCACTGAAAGAAAATTGCACCAATTTTGCTCAGTTCTTGCCATGTGAACCCACTCTATCAAATCATAATTGGAATTGGACTTAAGTTTGCATAGGAAAAACAAATGCTGAATGTCATCAAGTACTAACCCCGCTTCAACATGCATGTTTTTGGTGCTGAGTTACCATGATAAGCTGAAAAGTTTATACTTAACGACGTTCATAAACCCAGTTAAATATGTAAGGGATACACAATATTCAACTTAAACCAGTTTAACAATACACTAACCATTTGACTTTTTAGTCACATAGTTAAGACCGTGCTAACAAATGCCCAGTTCAGTGTTGTCAGCAATTCTAGGGAGAAGAGATCAATAATTCCGTTGACAACCAACAAGACAAAATGGCTGAACTGATAATCCAGCATGTGTCTACTTTACAACTGGCGCCTGCAGCGAGTCCAGCGGACACGCTCATTCACAATCGATACATGAGAACCTGCCAGTCAAATGAAGGGATGGAAAAAAACCTGAAGACAGAGCTTACTGCTTTAGTCTCCTTCAGATTAAACATAAGGACAGAGGCATCACTGTGCTGGTACTCTTCCAGATGAAGTCTCACCTCACTCAAGGCGGTCAGCTGAAAAGCCGAGTCCTGGGTGGCTGCCGCATTTCCTCATAACCAATATTCTGCCCGATAAACTTTCAAGGATAATAAAATAATGAAAAGTTTTCTTCAAAAAAAAAAAAAAAAAACTACAAAGGATCCCACCAGCAGGAAGTTTTTATTTTCATCAAATATAAATTGTGTATCTTTATTTGTAAAATTATTTGACCATGTTCACCTTTTCAAAACACTATACTGAGCAAAGAGCAGCTTTTCTTACCAAAAAAAAAAAAAATCAACAAACTTTCCTGAAAAGGGGCCTTTATCAACTGTCAATGGAGGTAGGGTTTTAAAAAAAAATACAGTAATTACAGCCATAAAATAAAACTCAAACCAAATCATGGAGCAGAAGTAGAGAATATGAAAATGGAAATAACACAAATTGCTAAAAAAAAACATTTTCCACAGAGAAATCTTGTTTTCTTATGGGTACCTAGGTTTTCCAGTTAAGTAAGTTATCACAGGTGTGCTGACTCGATTGAAGGCAGCTGATTTCAAACCTTGTTACACTGCGCCGGTCAGCGTAAGCTAACACACATGGTGGCTGCTGAGAAAACCCGCACAACTCACTCTACAAAAGATTTTCATTCTCCCCTTTTGTTTTTCTGGAGCAATAAGGCAAAGCTCCTCGGAGAATTCGCTCATACAAGTGAAAAGAAAATAAAGCAGCTTATAATTAATAAAAATGCATCTTGAAATTTATCTCTAAGATCAAGAACCAAAAATGAAGCATTTTAAGAAAAGGAAGCTATGGGAATCCAAATCAAGCGGGGAAAATAAAATTCCAGCTACTTTATAAAAGCTGTTCTTCACAACTTTGCAATAATTCTGATTAAATAAATCAAAGCAATTTACATTAATTTTCTATCGCTTTCCCAAAATTCCCTCACTTTCAAAAATTAAAAAAAAATAAGAAAATTAAAAAAAGTGCATCCAAAACCCAGCAATTCCATCAACTCCCTCGTCCCCCTGGGAGCCGTTCCTCAAAGGTTTTCCAAGTAGATTCAACTTCTTATAATCATGAAAGGGACTTGTGAAGTAAACCACTCTGCCACTCACCTGGAAAAGGTATCCAAATTATACAAATCTGAAATAATTTATTATCAAATTTTAGATTTTAAATAAAGACAAAGGTTTGTCTGTCAAGGCCTGAAAGAAAAGGACAGCATGCAGGTAAAAGGCGGAGATGAAGACAAACACAGCTACCTACACGGGGAGGACAGACGCCACTTCACTGCTGCTGTCACTCGCGAGACACGCCCCACCCTACGCCTATCTCATCCACTAATCAATGAGGTACCAATATTCAAGACCGGGAATTTTAATATTGAGAAAAACAAACAAGAGTTAAAATTGAAGCTTTTCTCTCACCCCCTTCAGAAAACTATGGTAGGCTTTGTGTGAAATGTTAGTATAAAGACTTTCACAATCTACGATGGTTTTTTTTAAAGAACAAAAACCATGTTCCACTTACAGGTAATAAAATGATCATCGTGTGAATCACATCGCCAGCGGACTTTGCAAATGAACACACCAATCGTGGCTGCCGACTGGCACATCTCCTCGGTACCAAAAGAACTTCTGAAGTTTAAAACACTCTTTTTAATTCGGAACAAATGTGCCATGCCAAAGTGCAACAAATATTGTGCGACAATCAACGAGACACTGACAGAGAAGAGCTGCATGGAAATTACGAAATCCACCTGCAAAGCAATTCTGTACAAATTGCATTGCATGCAACGGTCGAGTCTGCACGGTGAGAAGTCGCTCTGTGGTGTCAGGATGTCAGTTTCTCAGCGCAGCCACAGTTTAAGCCGCAGTGCATCAACTCCATTTAAATAGTATCTGAACAGCCGCTTATCTCGAACAAAACCAAGGTTTTCATAAAGTTTCAAAGCAGACTTGTTTGTTATTTCTGTTTCCAAAACAACCTTTAAAGAAATGAAAGAAAGTTGTTACAATTTCATAATTTAAAAAGCCCTCACAAAGCAAGCAAAGCGGAATGAATTTGAAAGCATACTCATTTAATGAAAATAATTAATATTAATTATAACAATTCATACAAATAAGCAGGGAGAACCCAGAGAAGCAGCTGTAAAATGATAACCAGTTACTGTTGGTCAAGGGAGGCGAGACCAACCTCTGTTCTGATTATTGTGATGTTTGTAGTTTTTACCAATGTTTTACTAAAACAAAGATGAATTATCACTTCATGAAGACAGATGACAAAAAATAGAAAAAAGATTTTCAAAAATAAACCAGAACTTGAAATTATTCGGATCAATCTTCAATGCCTATATTTTAGTAAATATCATCATTTAGTCCAGAAACAACGACCACATTTATCTAGACTCAAGCAGCCTGCAAACACTGAGTTCCAGTCCTGTATACCTGTTGGGATGCTTTCCAAGGAGTCCCATTACAACAGCATGCTCATCTGCTTACACGACACTTGTGGCTGTTTCTTGATTTCAGGGCAGACTTGCTGATGCTCTACAAGCCTCAAGTAATTATTCTTTTGCCTTTTGCAGAGAAAGTCGGCCATACCCACACCCAGACACTCAAACTTTAGGGTACATCACAATCGCCCTATTAAAACACACTGCTGAAGGGTTTAGTAAAACAAACTGCTGGGGACCCACCCAGTGCAGTATCCCAGTGGCTAAAGTACTCGCTTGGCATGGGCGCCTGTTCATATGCTGGCTGCTCCACTTTCCTTCCATCTCTCTGCCTGTAGCCTGGGAAAGCAGTAGAGGACAGCCAGAAATGCCAGTTGGTAGCCCTTGGGACCTTACTCCTGCATGGGAGCCATGGAAGAAGCTCCCGGCTCCTGGCTTTGCATCAGTTCAGCTCTGGCCACTGTGGCCACTTAAGAAGTGAACCAGTAGACAGAAGATCGTCCTCTCTGTCTCCCCTCCTTTCTGTAAATCCGGCTTATCAATAAAAAATAAATACATCATTAAAAAAAAAAACTGCTAGGCCTTACCCCAATTTTCTTTGGAGGTTTGAGATGGCATCTGCATCACATTATTTATTTATTTGAAAGGCAGAGCTATAGAAAGGGGGAGACAGAGCTTCCATTCACTAGTGGACTCCCCAAATGGCTGCAAGAAACAGAGCTGGGCTAGACAGGCCAAGCACTTCTTCCAAGTCTCTCACGTGGGTGCAGAGTCCCAAGTGCTGGGGCCATTCTCTGCTGCTTTCCCAGTGCACTGGCAAGGAGCTGGATCAGGGGTGAGGCAGTCATCGGGTCTGCACGAGCTGTCCTTCCGGAATACCGGCCCTGCAGGGTGTGGCTTTACCCAGCACGCCTCAGCACAGGCCCAGGAAGCTGAGCTTGAACCGGCCGACCGCAGGGTGGTGCTCGTGCTGCTGGCTGAGAGGCCGCCTTTTGGAGAACTACTTCTCCAGACATTATTGGTATCAAAACTTAACTGAGGAAGTTAAGTATTGATACTTGAGTTAATTAAGTATTAACTCCCATTTGGGTTTTTCTGTTTCAAATATTACTGAACTGGTAGCTCTGAAAATGAAGAACTAACATTTTGGAATACTGTTTTTCTTATTTCCACCAAAATCGGTCCCTAGCTCATCCTCCCAACAAAAGTTTGTAAAAACAAACATAATTCTAATTGTATTTTTCTATTGATTTTCAACCTACATCCTTGAGAATCATCAACACTGTGAGCCAGGTACCCACTCAGGGGCCTGGCATTCAGGGAAATGGCGGAGTAAGTGAAATGAAGTACAAATGAGGTGCAGTTCTCTTCCTGTTCCGGCTCAGGTTATCTGTAACTCTAAGTAGTAGAGAAATGGCAGTGCCCTCCACTGATGGGGAAAGCTGAACTCCACAGCTCCTCATCCAGTGACCAGGATCTCATCCCTTCTAACAGAAAGCACGTCACTCCTACGTCATTTTCATAATAACCTCGAGAAATTAATATGCTAATTTCTACTTTCTAGATTCTTGAAGCTTCAGGTCACCACAAGTAGAGCAAGGACAAAGCAAAGCAAATGGGCCGACTGACTGAGGGTCCAAATCCACCTTCGTTTACTGTCTGGCAAATTAAAATAAATGTTCAAAACACACATGAAGTCAACTACAGCTACACAAATACACACTTGAAGTGTGATGAAGATTAATGGCATTATCACAGATCAATAAAGAGCAATTACACAGAAAAATACACAAAGAGTAAATTAGTTAAAATGCAAAGATTATTGGCACACTGATTTGACACAAAGCAATCATGTATTATTTGACACAACAGAAAACGCCAGGGATCGGCACTGCATTGAGCGGGTTAGGCCAGCCCCTGGCCTAGCATGCCTTTGCAGACAGTCCACAGTCAAGCCCTCCGCCTCTGCTCCGGTACCAGGCCCCTGCTAATGTACATCATGGAAGACAGACGACGGCCCAAGCACACGGGCTCCGGCCATCCACAAGGAACAGCTGGCGGGGTTCCGGGTTCCAGGCCGCAGCCTGGCCCAGCCATGACCACTGCGGGCATTTGGCGAGTGAACCAGTGATGAGAGCTGGGTCACTCCCTCCCTTCTGTCATTCTGCTTTTCACATAAACAAACATATATATATGTGTATTATATATATATAAATATATATAATTTACATAATATATATGTAAATAAGGAGCAGGAGAAAGACTAACAATCTTCAGGTAGGAAAAAAGCTTCTTTGTAATACTCAGTTCTTATATCAACATATTAAAATGAAACCTGGGTTTATACTGGAAATTTATTAGAAAGCTACTCTAACTGTATTACATAATACGACAAAAGACCGCGAGGTTTTTCTTGGTTCGAAAGAGGCCTGTCAAAATTGAATTCTGCTTAAAGAAAAGTGAGATGCTGCACTGATTCTCCTGGCAACGAGCCAGTCCCTGGGTAAGCCAACCAGCTCAGGCTAACAGCACTTGTGCAATGCTCCAGGACAGGAAGCTGGGCTCAACTCAAAGTAAAATTACATTTTTATTGTTTTATAATGGGCCACTGTATTCTGGGAGTATAATTTCAAACTTTCCCTCAGAACAATAAATTACATACAAAGGCTATTTTCACATTTAAGTTTTTTTAAAACAAAAAGGTATCCCAACAGTATGGTTAAACTCTGCAAAGGCTGTTTTAGGCAAACTACAAAAACCATTTATTTAAAATCATACAGCAAAGAAAGCTCACAGAGCTATATTCACCCTTGCTTAAGTAATTCTACAAGTACAAAAAAAAAAAAAAATCAGCATTAGGCTTTTAGACCCAGGATGAAAAAAGAGTATTTCCATCCTGAAATATACCATTGATTTAGGATTTAATCTTGAGATTAAAAAATAGAATAACATCTCTGCATCATACCTCAGAACTTTCAACACCATTTAAACATGTGACCAGTTAAGGGGAACTAGGCAAGCAAGACCAGGTTAACTTAACAAGAGCTTAACCACAGCAACATTACAGTCCCTGTTCACAAATCTCTCCATCTTCAACATCAGAACATGGTCTAGCACTCCACAGACTGCTCCGAACTCTTGCACAACTTCTGTGACGCCTGCGTCGTCTCACCTTGCTGAGCCAAGCCCGTGTGGCTATTGTCCTGAGAGACTGACAGGTTAACAGCCCGGGGGAGTCGCTGAAGATGCCCAAGTGCTGGGCCCCTCCCTTCACACAGAGGTCAGCATCGGGTCCTGACTCCTTCCTGCTCTGCTCCGCTCCAGCCAGGGCTGCTGCAGCCATGGGGGGGGGGGGGAATCAGAGGGAAGATCTCGGTGTCTCCCTCTCTCCCTCCCCTTCTGGAAATCTGCCTTTCAAATAAATAGATAATAAAACTTATCTATTAAAAAAAAAAGAGAGACGCTCACCCACATGCCCAGCCCAGTTCTCCCCTGCACATTCTAGCTGGCAGCTACAGAAGTGGGTTGGCTGACTACACTTATACTTTTTGATATTAAAAGCTGTGATTTTTTCCCAGCTGTGTGCTACCTATCTGGAGTAAACTTACTTATCTTTATCTCAGAACAGCATCCCTGTGCCATCCAGTGCGTCTACGAGCCTTCTCATGCCACCCATGACCATGAGGTCTGGTCCCACAGGAGGGAGGCTTATGTGAACAAGGAACCTGTTGAATACCCTGCACTCAGTCTTGGCACACTAACATGAAGATATTCTCAAAAGCTACTGTTAAATTTAAGAAACAGTTATTGCAGGGTCATTACTTCGTGCTTAGAAAATGGGAGGCTCTACGTCACAGCGACAGGAGCTGTCAGAGGACAGGAGGATGACAGCTTAAGGACGCGTCAGCACTGCAGACAGCGGCTTAAGCGGACACCTGGGAGGCTCACATCCCACCCCGGGGTGCCAGTGTGCGTCCTGACTCCTCTGCTTTGTCTAGCACCCTGCTCAGACACTCCCGGAAGCAATGGATGACTGCCCCCAGGCGAGAGCTCCTGGTCCTGGCTACCGTGACCATTTGGTGAGTGAAACAGTGCATGCAAGATTCTCTTTCTTACTCTCACTTTCAGCCTTCCAAATCAGTTAATAAACCAAAAAAAAAAAAAAAGCCAGATAGCACCAGAATGGTGGAAATTTTGTGAACTACATGTGTAATAACTATAAATGCCTTCAATTTAAAAAAACACCCCTATTGAAATTCACCAAATTGCTTATCAATCTACTAAAAAAATTGCCCTAATTTCAGGTATTTTCAAAACTCTCTAAGGTATACTGACCACTCCCCAATAATGACAACTGTCATATGTACTGCTCGTAAGATAATGAAATGCCACTCTGGCCTCCCGACCACTGCTGGGATGTTAACGACACCCACACTGCACAGACCCCCAGTCACTGCTGGGATGTTAACCACGCCCACACTGCACAGACCCCCGGCCACTGCTGGGATGTTAACGACACCCACACTGCACAGACCCCCTAGTCACTGCTGGGATGTTAACCACGCCCACACTGCACAGACCCCCAGTCACTGCTGGAATGTTAACCACGCCCACACTGCACAGACCCCCTAGTCACTGCTGGGATGTTAACCACGCCCACACTGCAGACCCCCGACCACTGCTGGGATGTTAACCACACCCACACTGCACAGACCCCCCCCATCACTGCTGGGATGTTAGCCACGCCCACACTGCACAGACACCCCCACCACTGCTGGGATGTTAACCACGCCCACACTGCAGACCCCCCCAGTCACTGCTGGGATGTTAACCACGCCCACACTGCACAGACCCCCCAGTCACTGCTGGGATGTTAACCACGCCCACACTGCACAATGGCAATGGTTGTATTCCCAAACATCGCAGCATATGGTGAGCAGCTCTCACGCACAATCCTGTAAGACACGAGCCAGTGGCGCCCCTCACAGCCCTCACAGGCTCAATCAAGATGCTCCCAGGCAACAGATCTGTACTTCCACACCTCCTCTCTGCACTCTCCGCCTAGCACTAGAGTTTCAATGTGAAATGTGTATTTCAATGCATAGTATTCAATGTGAAATGTCTTCTGTAAGAGCTGGCAGCTCTCTCAAGGTTAAAAAGAGAGGAAAAAAAAAATGTTGTAAGGCATAAAGGACAACATGTAAGCAAATGACAGTTCAGTTTGTAAAAGCACCTTTTTTTTTTTTGCTCAAAATCCGTCTTCTTTTAACTTATGAGTCGCTTTTTTTCACCACACAGATTCAGATCCTCACTCCCCAGCCCCTTCCCTTTAATTACTATCTCCGTCTTATTATTGTTCCCCAAGTTATTACAACAGCATAATCATTCATTTCACAATGATAACAAAGTAACTACCAATTGTAGGCTGAAAATTACTTAAGATTTTACTTTTACATTGTTCAGAATTTTTAGCTCCACTTGTTTTAAGTTAAAATTCACGTGTTTGTGAATAGAATATAATTTGCCCCACAAGCTGCATTGGTCTAAACAGCAAGCAGTAGAATCTGAAGAATTACTGCAGGACAGTTATACAAGTGCTCAGTAGAACACTGCCCAGCACCCAGGCAGCTCCACTCACTCACCTCATCACAGTCTCCTTCAACCATGGCATAAATAGCTTTCTTCACCAAGTTAGTACCTAGAACACAGAGAGCAGTTTTAATGAGAGGAAGACATAATTCTTTAAACACACCCAAGCTGATATTCACAATGAACAGATATGACAAAGGCTGCTTTCTCTCTTGATACCCTCTCAAAGATGATCTCAAATTAAATGGCAAAAAGGTCAATCAGAAACTGAAAAGGCCAGAGAAGCTGCGACTGCGATCTAACTTTCCTAATGAAAGACCCAACTCCTCATACATTCCCTTTTCTCAGGACAAATGAATCGCTCCAAGCGGGACATTGTTCTAATCTGTTTGAAGATAGGAGAAAAAGGACAAAGAGAAAGGCAAGATTTGAGATGGACAGGGTAACCCTGAGACTGGGCAGAGCTCAGAGCACGCCCTGCCCCAATCCTGCCAGAGAGTTCTCGAATCCAAGGACAAGAGCTTGACAAGATGCCTCAGCAGCTGGCTGTGCCCACCATGGTCCAACGCTCTGGCTTGGCACTGCGAGCCTTCTAATGAGAACGGGCACGACTGCTGGCACTCCCATGATGTCAGGACTGAGTCAGTGAATGTCTCATAAAATGCATTCTAAGTCTGGGTTGCATGTAGCTGTTACACAAGAACAGTAAAGAGGGAGGGGAGAACTTCCTGATCTAATTTTTAAAAAAGCAAGACAAATTCTATTTTGGAAGTACACATGCGTACATGTGCTGCAAACCTTCAAGTCCTGAGTCCTACACTCTGAGCCAGCTTAGCACTTGACATGAGCCATTATCAGCTCCTCGTAATGCACCAGAGCCTCCAAACTGGTCTGTGAGACAAACCAAATCCACAAACATTCCTGGCGGAAGGGCTGGCGCTATGATGTAGCAGGTAAACCTGCTGCCCGCAACGCCCGCATCCCACTTGGATGCCGGTTGTGTCCTGGCTGCTCCACTTCCAAACCAGTTCCCTGTTAATGACTTGGGAAAGGCAGCAAAGAATGGGTCAGCTGTTTGGGGCCTGGCCACCATGTGAGACCCAGACGAAGCTCCCTGCTCTGGGCTGGCCCAGCGCTGGCCATGGCAGCCTTCTTGGGAGTCGTGCGGCAGGCAAAGGAAGATCCCTCTAAATACATAAATAAAATAAATCCTTAGTGGCAAGTTGCAAGACCATGAGAAAAGTTGGTAAACCTAACATGTTTAAGTAAACCTATTCATAACATCCCATGACATGTAAGATTATGTCAAACAGCCTTAAGTTGGAGAATAACACTTCTATTTTGTTTCTTAAAAGCTATGAGGCCTGACATGGTAGCCTAGCGGCTAAGGTCCTCGCCTTGAGCACACCGGGGTCCCACATGGGCACCGGTTTTGGTCCTGGCAGCCCCACTTCCCATCCAGCTCCCTGCTTGTGGCCTGGGAAAGCAGTTGAGGACGGCCCAAAGCCTTGGGACCCTGAACCTGTGTGGGAGACCTGGAAGAAGCTCCTGGCTTCGGATTAGCTCAGCTCTAGCTGTTCTGGTCACTTGGGGACTGAATCATCGGACGGAGGATCTTTCTGTCTCTCCTCCTCTCTGTATATCTGACTTTGCAATAAAAATAAACAAATCTTAAAAAAAAAAAAAAAAAAGCTACAAGCAATTGAAGTGCTAACAATTAAACACGGGAATAGACATCTAGTGTGTCTGAAGTACATCCCAGAATCTGATCTGCTCAGACAAGTGTCTGTCTCCCTGGTCCTCCCCTGTGAGCCCTAGATTTACTTTATTTTTATTGGAAAGGCGGATCTTCTGTCCACAACGGCCGATGCTATGCTGATCCAAAGTCAGGAGCCTCTTCCGGGTCTCCCACGTGGGTGCAGGGTCCCAAAGCTTTGGGCTGTCCTCGGCTGCTTTCCCGGGCCACAGGTAGGGAAATGGAAGGGAAGTGGGGCCACAGGGATTAGAACTGGCACCCATATGGGATCCCAGGCGTGCAAAGAGAGGACCTTAACCACTTGCGCCACCGCGCTGGGCCCAAGCCCTAGTTCTTAAAGCAGGTTTACACCATACTCCCCTGGGAAAGCTTCAGCCCTCCCACTGACAGGACCAACAAGGGCCTAGGCACATTTTTATATCACCCAACTGATTCTATTGTAAACCATGAACATAGATGAACCCAACACGCTAGGAAAGTCAAAACAGAGAGGAGTCCAGGAATTGCAGGAAACAATTCTAGTCTCCTAGCTGTCCCTGACTTATAACTTAATGCCTAATGGCTAGCACTAGGTCATGGCAATTTCTCCTTGATTTTGGCTTGGCCGAGGTCCACTTCGTCCACACCCAGACAGCTGCCTTGGGGCTAGGCTCCGTACTTAGTAACACAAAGCAGCTGGAATGTGATTAAAAGAACACGGATAAGTGCCATTTTCACGCTTTTCAGAAATATTTGAATTATAAAATCTTACCTTCCTTCCTTTAGCTCCAAATCCATTTCTACATATTGACACAGAAGTCTTTTGTTTCAAAACACAAAAATGAAACTGTATGCTTTCAGTTAAACAGTGTGTCTCTTACCGATGCCATTCCTCCTGTACTTGGAATCCACAGCTAACATGGCTATGTAACCTCTGCGGAACATCTTTTTGTGCATGTCCAACTTGCAAACGATGGCGCCTACACACTCCTCCCCCACCACGGCCTTAAAGATAAACAGACAGTTGGGAAGAGTTTAGCAGGTGCACGCGATGGCCCAGTGAGCACAGCAACCAACCACGCGGCTGCATCTCTGAGGATGAAGAGATGAGGACAGCTCCAGCAAAAGGGCGATCACGGCAGTTCCTGAAATCGCATCCCAGAATTTCTCACATGCTCTGGCTTTACAACTCCTCGATTCCTACAACACTGGTTTCTTGCAGTTATCAAAGCCCACAGGGAAAAAGCAAAACCATTTCCACACAGAAACATTCCAGTACCTGATAAAACCACACGCGACATACTTAACAGTTATAACCATTCACAATAAAGATGTACCTAAGGGAGTTGGGGGGAGGGGAAGGAGAATACGTGACAAAAACAAGTTTCAAGGGAAACACTGATTCACTAGAATCTGACGAAATAATGTCAAGCTTGTCCATTAGTACTGTACTTTTAAAGTTAATTATAATGAAGCTTTAGTGGAAGGCAGATGTGAGACATAACAGTTAAGACATGAATGGCAGTTCAGATCGAGCCAGAGCATAGGGAAGGGATTAGCAGGTATTGCCCAGATTCTACTCCAGGGCTTACTGAAGTGTGTGGGTCAGACGCCAGAGCTTGAAAGACATACTTTGATTTACAGAGCTATTTTGATTTAAAAAAATTAATAAATAAAGCCTTCCAGAGGGTGAAAAGGCTATAGGACACATGCTAATCATCCCATTTCATGAAGGTGCCCAGTGTCGTCACTGAAAATGTCTCTCTAGAGTTCTACAACACGGTGCTATGGCGTATATAAACACGGCAGTTCTCCCCCACTGTGTCGGCAAAGCAGTGCTTGCTTGCTGCGAATTGGCTTTTCAAAAGAAACTATTTCAACAATAAAAACTAGGAATGGATTAGAAAAATCAGAAGTCCCGGTTAACTTAATATTTAAATTTAAACTGCAAAATGAGTAAAATGTTCCAAAAAAAAAAAAAACTGTGGAGAAATCTTTTAGGCAAGATCATTCAGATCCATTTCACACAAATCTAAACTAGGTCATAAAAAAATGTTTGAAGAGATTATAAATTCTACAAGTCAGGATAACTAATTTCTCTTTTATCAGACATTACCAAACTACTTTGGGTCAATAAGACTCTAAAACTGTTTTCTGCCTTCTCAATAAACCAATCTTAAAAATTATTTTGAAGACATAATTTCTGCTTAACATTTCTGACAAATTCCGACAGCCTGTTCTGATTTGAAAATTCTCTCCAAATACGCGCAAGGGGTGCATACATGTGTACATATATGGCACAGCACACGGAGACTCATAGACCAAACGGCACATTTAAAATAGGCAGAAAATCGACCTCCCACGCTGGGCTCGTGCGAAACAAGACCCGACGCAGAACCAACGCCCAGGACAACCATGCTTCCAGGTTAACACCAAGAGGAAAACCACCAAGCACATGCAGCTGGACACAAATTTCAGACTGAAAAAAATGTCAAGCAAATCTTTGTCTGCTGGCTCTGAAAATAATAATTCCTGGTTTCAAATTAGTTTTGCCAATCTTTAGGAGCAGATATCAAAAAGTAGACATCAAAAGGAAGGCCCAGGGCCAGCACAACAGCTCAACTGGCTAGCCCTCCGCCTTGCAGTGCCAGCATACTATATGAGCACTGGTTCCAATTTAGCTCTGTGCCTGTGGCCTGGCAGTGGAAGATGGCCCAAAGCCTTGGGACCCTGTACCCGTGTGTGCGACCCAGAAGAGGCTCCTGGCATCAGATCAGCTCAGCTCCAGCTGTCGGAGCCATTTGGGAAGTGAACCAGCGGTGGAGGATGTCTCTCTCTGCCTCTTCCTTTCTCTATAAAATCTGCCTTTCTGATAAAATAATAGTTTAAAAAGCCCAATTAATGAAGCACCTGTTGCAGCGAGGAAGGCCAGTACTCTTTTCTTCCCGATAAAATGCTGACGAATGTAATTTACAAGAACCAGTAAAGTGCCTGTCAGATTTCCAAAATCAAAGCTTCTACAGGGACGTGTGAGACCCATTCAGTTAAATGTGGCTTGATTAAGACTTAACTTCACAGGACCAACGGCCTGTCAGCCTACAAAGCTATGAAACATAAAAATTGTGTGAAATAGATTCCCAAATATAGAACACTACAAATAGAAAACTGGAGGAAGCTGGGAAGTTAAATTTAGAACAAATAAACGGAAGTACTGTATTATATTGCTGAAATAAGCTTAAGAATGTCAAAAAGGCATTCGCACCTGGAAAGACTACAAATTCCAAAGAGGTGGCAGTGGCCACAAACAGGGAAGGCAGCGCCTCACATCCTGACCAACCTCTGCCTTTACATCCACTGCAACACTCAGAACTGTCACACTTTGTCAAGCAAGTGTTTGTACTTTTCTACGGTTCAACCCCGCAGGTTCCCCAAAGAAACCAGACAGGTTCTCGGAGGTTTCCAATCTCTTGAAATAGACGTTTGTAAGGAAAACCACTCCTTGGCGAGGACAGCTGGCTGCCACACAGTGGCCTGCGTTACACATGTAAAGGGAATGCCATTTTTCAGGTTCCTGTTATCCTAATTATCCTAATGAAGAGAGACCTCAAACCAGGAGCCCTTGCTCTGAGCGGAGCCTCCCTGCCTGCCATCTGGAGGGCTCTCAAATGCTCTGAGTCGCTCCGATCCGTAAAGGCCTTATGCATTAAAAAAAAAAGAAAGCAAAAAAGTTGCAAGATGTTATGACTGCATAAACATTAAGAATTTGATTTTTCAAAAACCTAATTCTTACATGAAATTCACATTTCAAAACATGCCAACATAAAGGCCTCTGTTCTAAATGGCCTGTTCCAGAATAAGGTTTTATTGTGCAATAAAGAACCTCCTGATTGAGTCTCGCACAAGGACACCTTGCAGAGGCCCACGGGGTGTAGGGGAGGTGTGTGTGTGGGGGGGGGGTCGCTCCATTTCCAGATATGCAGGATTCAATGTTAAACTTTGGCTATAAAAAGCTAATCATCCAGAGTAGGGCTGCCTGACTTCCAGCTTATCAGTCTCAAATAGCAGACAGGCCAAGAAGGGCCCATGTGACACCAGGACTTAAAAGCTGCCTAAACACCATGAAAACGCAACTACTTTCTAGAACTGAGAGAAAAACATCTATTTCGATTTAAAATGGGATTCGATTACACGCTCTGCTGGGTTCTTGGTACAATTAAATCAATCCACAATTTTCAGCATTTAGTGACATTTGTGATGGAGCTATAAATTATTTTTCTATATTCACTGACATGAACATAGAACTCCCATTTTTGATACAATGTTTAGAATCCTGATAATTTTTTAGAACACAGAATAATACCTGGTTGAAACAAAGGTATGACACTGAAGTTTGAGTAAAGTTAACGCAGAAAACAAGGGAGCTACCGCTAACTACAATACCCACATTTTATTTTCAAATTACCACCAAGCTATAAAATCAGAAAGATTTTTAAAGTACTGTCAAAACACACTTCTGGGAATTACTAAGTGAAACTAAATCCATGTTCCAACAATAAATTACAGTGGTGACTTTTCCCTTCACATATCATAAAATGGCATCTTTAGTAAAACTCAAGTGAAACCAACCTGAAAAACTCAAATGAGACCAATACGCTGGTGAGTTCATGCTAGCAAGCATATACCTGCGGTCGATGTTTGCGTTTCATAGACTGAAACTGGGCCAATATTGCTATGAAGAAATAACCTGCATTGTATTAGCTTGTCTAATAGCCAAGTCTTTCGCTTTCACCAAAGTGGAAAAAAAAAATCATTGCAACACAGGCCAGTGTTCCCAGTTTTTTAGGCCTATCTATAGCCAGTTTCTTTAAAACAAAGAAAGAAGAAAAAAAAGAGTAACAACTTCGCACACAAGTTTCCTACAGGCCTTCCAGTGCCCAGGAGTGTTAACAGCAGAGCGGGAGAGGGCAGGCTGGGCACCACCGCGGCCACTCCTGCCCAGGAAAGGGGCAACTGTCTCCACGAGCCCAGAGCGTGTGTGCAGCACTCAACTCCCCGAGGTGGCCCCAGCAGGCGCACTGACGGCCGTGCAAGCAAACACGTGCACGCTCACACACTGCTGATGGGACAGGAAGGAATAAGGCTGCCCCAGCTCAGAACCGGCATCAAACCATAGGCCCGCAGAGCGCTCGCAAGGCAATTCCAGGAGGCTCAGGTGCACGGCCCGGAGACCCCCGCCCCGCCACCCAATGAACCCGCAACGCGCCGGCGGGACGCGGCGGAGGGGGCGCCCCTTCCCAGCAGCAGCACTGACCGGCTCAGAACCGGGGGTCACCTCGCACAGGGACACCGCGTCTGCCGCCTGCACCTGCGGGAGGGGACCCTGCACCCCACCTGCCCCGCAACCGCCTTCCTCTCGTGCAAAGGGTCAGCCCTCCCCTTGGCCCTGCACACGCACTTACCAAGAAGCACAGCTGTGGCCAATTGTGGATAAAATATCTATAGGTATAAATGGAGTAGGGTTCGGACAGATCTTTGGTGATCAGTCTCATAATGTCGGGCATCTGCAGCTCGGACTCGTATCGGACGTAGCGTATCGTCCGATCCTCGCCGGGCTCCACCTCCCTGCCCGAGGGGCTCCTTAAACTGCAGCCGGCGCTTAGGGATGCGGACAGCAGCCGCACCTGCTCCTCCTGGTCACCGTGGTCGTCCTCCTGCCGCCGCTGCTGCTGCTGCTGCTGCTGCTGCCCGGCGCCCTCGGCCAGTCCATTGCGCGCCGCCGCTGCTTCCAGAGCCGGGCCCGGGAGCGCAGTTCTGGCCTTGTGGGGGTGCGCCGGTGGTGGGGACCCCTCGTCCGTGGCAGTCGCTCGGGGGTCCCCGTCCGGAGCGGCCGCGTTCGTCAGGCCCTTGCTCTTGAGAGAGGCGGCCGCCCGGAGGTGTCGCAGTTCGGGGCTGATCAATCCGTTGAGCTGCTGCGGCTGCTGGGGCTGCTGGGGCTGCGCCTGCGGCGGAGGGCAGCGGACGCACGGCCGCCCCTGGGCCGCCGCCTCGTGCTCCTCGTCGTCCTCGTCGTCGTCGCTGCAGCAGGCCAGGGCGGCCCCCGCCGGGAAGGGGCAGCGGGGCTCGGCCGTCGCCGGGGCCGGCGGTGCCGGAGGTGGGAGGAGGCTGCTAGGCCCAGGCGGTACCTCCGCCATCCTACGAGGAGGAGGAGGAGGAGGGGAGGGAGGGAAGGCCGTGTGAGACGCTGCCGGCCCATGGCGGGGGTGGGGGGGACAGGGGAACGGCCCCGGGGCGTGTGCGCGCGGCGAGGTGTGGGGGGGAAACAAAGGCACGAACCGTCTTCCCGGCGCTGCGCCCCCCCCCCATGCCGCGCCGCCCCCCAGCCACACACTCACTCCCACGCGCGCGCGCGCTCGCGCACAGCCAGCCCGCGGCCCCTCGGCGCCGCCCGCGCCCCAGCCGCCCGCCGTGTCACCGCGGCCCCTGCCCGGGCCCTGCGCCCCGCTCACCCCGCACCGGTCCCCGCCGCCGCCGCCGCTCGGCCACCGCCGAGCTCCCACTCCGCCGCCGCCGTAAAGCGCCTCGGCTGTTACCCCGGGTAAAGTTTCCTGGGCCTGGCTTTACGACACTTCCCTGCCTGCCGGCTGCCGGGCCGAGGGAAAGGGGCGGGCGCCGGGGTGACCTGCGCGAGGGGCGGGGACCCCGGGGCGGGGATTCGGGGCCTGCGGCTCCCCAGCCCCGCGCGTCTCTCCCGGGGCTGCCCGGGTGCGTCCTCGCCCAGCTCGCCACGCCGGGGCCCAGGCGGGCGCTCCCCTTCCCTGCCCGGCACGTGCCACCGGCTCCGGGCCCGGCCACCTGAAAATGCTTTTTCGGAGCTGTAAGGTGGTGAACTTGGGCCTTGACCCGGGACCCGGGGATGAGTGGGGCGGGAAAGCGGTTTACAGGAAGCAAACTCAAGGTAGCAGGTGGAGGAGAAGAAGTTAAGATAGTTTGAACTGTGAGAGCAGGAGGTTGGCTGTGGAAAACTCGGGGAATTCAGTTTACCCAGGCCTTGCCCCAGGAGGCCAGCGAACAGGTGTCCTTTACTTCTTTTCTAAACCCCTTCCTCTCCCCAGCCTGGAGAATTGGGGGTCAAGTGGGACCAGCAGGTGGACAGCTTCAAGTGAGCCCGGGGAGCCATTAGAGACAGACAGGAAACACGCCCCTGAACTTGTGACGTGAATTGTGACAGGTGGGGGGCACCGATCAAGGGTGCCCGCGCCCCTCGTGTGTGACCCTCCTGGGCATACAAGCTGCCCTGCCCCGGTCCACACCTGCGGAGGCGCGGCCAGTGTGCACGCAGAGACCAGCTGACAGTGCGCCATGAGCAAAGTAAGGTTTTTTTAATGTAAAAGCATATTTGGGGAATATAATTCCGTGACTGAAAATGTTTGCAGCTTTCTCCTGGCACGGAAGCTTGTGGAAGTGGAATACATTGTAGCAGGACTGACGGGTACTTAGAGTTCTTAGACTTGATGTCCCTGAGGTGTTAAAGGAAAACCGCCGCTGTCTGTGGACAAGGCCAACCCTAAGGGGTAATCATATTATTAAAACGTGTTGCTTGGGCCAGGCACCCTTGTGCTTGTCTCATGTGCTTTTATTTCTTCCTCCACAGCTCTGTGACCTATCAGAACACTGACATTTGTGCACAAAAAAGCATGTGGGAACTCGTTTGTTTCAATCTTGTCTATAATAGGAAAAAACGAATTCCAACCCACCTATGTGGCTGTGAACATAGGAATGACTAAAGGGATGATTCAGTCGTGCTTTGAGGTTCTCCTAATGGCATTGTTGAAAAGATTCAAATAGATCAGGGTACTTCTGAAAGTCTTATAACCTGGCCTTAGAACTCATGATGCACCAGAGTGGGCATTTGGTGCGAGGTGAAGAGGGGGTTTGGAACGCCAGGAACCCTGGGTGTCAGTATCAGCTGGCACACCTGGGAGACAGCAGGTAATGGCTCAAGTGCTTTGGGTCCTGCCAGCTGCATGGGACACCCTGATGGGGTTCTTGGCTCCTGGCTTTGGACTATTCCAGCACTGGCTGTGGCAGGCATTTGGGGAGTGAACCAGAAAAGAAGCTCTTTAAAACCATGCCGTGGACCCAGCGCGATGGCGTGGTGGTTAAAGTCCTCGCCTTGCACTCACCGGGATCCTATGTGGGTACCAGTTCTAGTCCCGGTGGCCCCACTTCCCATCCAGCTCCTTGCTTGTGGCCTGGGAAATCAGTTGAGGACGACCCAAGACCTTGGGACCCTGCACCGGTGTGGGAGACCCGGAAGAGCTCCTGGCTCCTGGCTTCGAATTGGCTTAGCTCCATCTGTTGGAGCCACTTGGGGAGTGAACCATGGGACGGAAGATCTTTGTCTTTCCTCTCTGGATATCTGCCTTTCCAATAAAAAATAAATCTTTAAAAAAGGAAAAAAAGCCAATCCAGTTCTGGTGCATTGAGTTTCTGCAGAGTCACACTTAAGTGTGAGGGGAGGAACCTTGGTGGAGAAGGACCAAGCTCTCCAAGGGCAGGGGAGACCAGAGATACTGTGGTGGTCGTTTTTTAAAACTCCAACTCGCCCCTGGTGCTTGAATTGAAAGATGGAAACACCTTAAAGGGACAGTGGGAAGCAGGGAATGAGATGGCCGTGAGCCCTTTCCCGTCCTTTGATGAAGCCAGTCAGAGCCGTCTTCCCATGTCTGTTTCCGGGTGACTGCTTGTCAGCTGACACGGGCGCTGGGTGTAACCTGGCTATTCAGGTTACACATGATGTGCTCAAATCGTGGAGGCAAATCCGCCCAGACGGCCCCACACAGTTTCCTAAGAAACATTTTAGCTTCCTTTTTATGGGAGAAAATCTCTCTGTCATTCTGTTTAACATACAAGAATATTTTTTTGAAGTCCCTAGAAAGTGAACTTAAGAGGTTTATTTTTGTGCCATTTTGAAATTCATGCCATTTTATCATAACACATTTTCTGTAAACTTTTTTTTTTAAAGATTTACTTATTTTTATTGAAAAGGCAGATTTACAGCATGAAGATGAGACAAAAAGATCTTCCACTCCCCAAGAGGCCGCAACAGCCGGAGCTGAGGTGATCCAAAGCCAGGACCCAGGAGCTTCTTCCAGATCTCCCACGCGGGTACAGGGTCCCTAGGCTTTGGGCTGTCCTCTACTGCTTTCCCAGGCACAAGCAGGGACCTGAATAGGAAATGGAACAGGCGGGACATGAACTGGCACCCATATGGGATCCTGGTGGGTGCAAGGTGAAGATTTAGCCACTAGGCTGTTGCACCAGACCCTCCGTGAAGTAGTCCCTGCTGAAGTGTGTGTGAATGAATGCCCTGCGTCCCTCAGGCCTTGGTGTTTCCTCTCACTGGGAGGGGCCTGACTCCATCTCTGGAATTTCCAGAAAGCTGAGAGTTATCAAAACCCCCTGGAGGCCAGGAACGGAGTGTTCTTGCCTTTGTCTGCTGCCTAGCACGCAGAAGACTTGTTGAGGCTTTTGTCTGAAGAATGAGTGTAATGTCAGTCAGTTCTGGCCTCCAGGAAGATCAAATAAGCTCTCTGAAATCCCAGTGGCAGCGACTTCTGTCCGTATTTTAGTGTCAGAATCCCAGTAGTAATCTTCTAAACCAAATGTGTTCCTCAAGAAATCTGTCCTTACACCTATGACATCGTGTCTTTTTCACTATGTTTACTTGATAACGATAGTAGCATTTCTGGCATAGAAATAGGGTACGAAACAGCCTTCATGTGAGGCTTTGGGCATATTTTGCCTATTCTACCTGTGACAATTCAGGCTCCTGTATGAGTAACGCTGTTATTAGAAGCAAAATACTAGTCTCAGAAGAGGAGTACTGTTGATTTGGGGGCCAGCATTGTGGCATAGCGGGTTAAGCCGCCACCAGCAATGCCAGCATCCCGTGTGGGTGCCACTGCTCCACTTACAACCCAGCTCCCTGCTGATGCCCCTGGGAAAGGTGTGGAAGATAAATCAAGTACTTGGGCCCCTACACACAGTGAGAGACCTGGAAGACGCTTTTGGCCACTGGCTTTTGCTGGGACTGAATGGTTGCAGCATGACCATTTGGGAAGTGACCCAGTGGATGGAAGATATCTCCTTGTCTCTCTCTCTCTCCTCTCCCAACTGTGCCTTTCAATGAAATAAATAAAAATGGATCTTTTTTTTTTAAGTGTTGCCATTGATGCCTGCCAATCAGAATAATTGTTGTTTTCATCCCTTGCAATATCCCATGATGCAACACTTTTCTTACTACAGTTCTTTTTTAAACAAAAGACCACGCTTAGTTTTTTTTTTTAAAGATTTATTTTTATTATTTTTTCATTGGAAAGGCGGATATACAGAGAGGAGAGACAGAGAGGAAGATCTTCCGTCCGATGATTCACTCCCCAAGTGAGCGCAACCGGCCGATACTATGCCAATCAGAAGCCAGGAGCCTCCTCCGGGTCTCCCACGTGGGTGCAGGGTCCCAAAGCTTTGGGCCGTCCTCCACTGCTTTCCCAGGCCACGGGCAGGGAGCTGGAAGGGAAGCGGGGCTGCCGGGATTAGAACCGGCGCCCATATGGGATCCCGGGCGTGCAAGGCGAGGACCTTTAACCACTTGTGCCACCGCGCCGGGCCCAACGCTTAGTTTTTTTTTAAGAGAAAGAATAACTCATGAAATTGAAATAACCAATGTCAATTTCAAAAGAATATCCTAAAGCAAACTCCTGAAATGAACTTAATAGGAGAAAATCCCCTCCTAAAGTCTTTGTAACAGCAAGGCGTTTGTCTCCTGTTGGCTAAGTTTACAGCAGAGATCAAGCAGTGTACCTAGCTGGAAGGTAACCATGGCAACGAGGACATGGTAGGGAGATGCTTTACGTAGCACCGAGTCAGCAGGATGACGTTGTAATGTGCCGTGGGCACGCACACATGGAATGACGTAATCGTATGAGTGGTCTCTCCGTCATGTAGTTCCCGATTCTGCTAACCCTCACTGTTGTACGTAAGGCTCCGGGTTGGCTGCCCTCAGCTTTCGCACGCGATGAAACAAAGGGCATGCATAAGTTGAGGGCTGCAGAAAGAACTGGAGTTAGCATTGTCACGTCACCACCCATCATCCTTGAACGCCTTGAGATTCTTTGGTAAAGAGCGTTAA